TCCCAGCTTTTCTGGGATCACTGGGGATCCCAATCCCAGCCTTCCTGGGGTCACTGGGGATCCCAATCCCAGCTTTTCTGGGGTAACTGGGGATTGCAGGGAGTGCAGGGAGAGCATTCCCAGCTTTTTTGGGATCAGTGGAGATTGCAGGGAGAGCATTCCCAGCTTTTTTGGGATCAGTGGTGATCCTGGGAGTGCAGGGAGAGCATTCCCAGCTTTTCTGGGATCACTGCAGATTGCAGGGAGAGAATTCCCAGCTTTTCTGGGACTAGAGGTGATCCTAGGAATGCAGGGAGAGCATTCCCAGCTTTCCTGGGATCAGTGGTAATCCTGCATTCCCAGGGAGAGCATGGAGTTGTCCTGGGTGGCCCTGGGATGGTCCTGGGTGGCCCTGGGGCTGTCCTGGGTGGCCCTGGAGTTGTCCTGGGTGGCTCTGGGATGGTCCTGGGTGGCCCTGGGGCTGTCCTGGGTGGCCCTGGAGTTGTCCTGGGTGGCTCTGGGATGGTCCTGGGTGGCCCTGGGGCTGTCCTGGGTGGCCCTGGAGTTGTCCTGGGTGGCTCTGGGATGGTCCTGGGTGGCCCTGGGGCTGTCCTGGGTGGCCCTGGAGTTGTCCTGGGTGGCCCTGGGATGGTCCTGGGTGGCCCTGGGGCTGTCCTGGGTGGCCCTGGGATGGTCCTGGGTGACTCTGGGATTGTCCCACCTTCCAGAGACTCGAGTCTCCGCAAATTCCCACGAGGTTTCATTGGATTTTCCAGCCCTGCAGAGCAAAAGCTGCCCTGGGGAAGCCTGGGGAATGGAGCAGCTCTTCCTGGAATATTCCTGGGGAATTCCAGAGGAATTCCCTGCTCACCCCGAGGGACAGAAGGCACTCACCAGTAGTAGAGGCTGCTGGGCCCCACCAGGAGCAGGGCAGCCAGGGGCATCCTGCTCTGCTCCGCCACGGGAGTGAAGCACCCGGTGAAATAAATGAACAGGATCAGGAAAAACGGGATGTACCTGCAAAAAAATCAGCAATTCCCAGCGCTGGGATGAGCCTGGAAAGGGATGAAACTGCCCCAGATCCATCCCAGACCCGGAGCTGTTCCTGTGGGTTCAGCTGGGGATGGAGCAGCTCTGGAATTCCCTGCTCAGAGATTCCTGGAGCTCTGAAATTCCCTGCTCAGAAATTCCTGCAGCTCTGAAATTCCCTGCTCAGAAATTCCTGCAGCTCTGAAATATTCTGCAGCTCTGGAATTCCCTGCTCATAAATTCCTGGAGCCCTGGAATTCCCTGCTTGGAGATTCCTGCTGCTCTGGAATTCCCTGGAGCTCTGGAATTCCCTGCTCAGAGGTTCCTGAAACTCTGGAATTCTCTGCTCAGAGATTCCTGCAGCTCAGGAATTCCTTGCTCAGAGTTTCCTAGAGCTCTGGAATTCCCTGTTTGGAGATTCCTCCACCTCTGGAATTCCCAGCTCAGAGATTCCTGCAGCTCTGGAATTCCCTGCTCCAGGATTCCTGCTGCACCCACAGGGCACAGAAGGGCCTGGGAAAGGTTTGGTTTGTCCTGTGCTCTGCAGATCAGGAGAATTCCCAATATGGGGCAGGAAAATCCCAAATTTCCAGCGCTGCCCTGAACAATTCCAGTCGTTGCATTCCCAAATTCCCGTGCTGTGAGCAGGATTCCCAAACCTCCCCCAGAGCCCCTCTTTCCTTTCTAAGGGATGTCAAAGAACGGGGTTTGCTCCCTTCCCTGCCCTCCAGGAACTCCAAATGAGCCAGCAGGGAATTCCCTGAGCTCCCAGGATTATCTGGCAGCGAACTGAGACTTTCCTGGGTTTTTGGGGTGTTTGGGGCCGGGGTTTTTGGGGTGTTTGGGGTCGGGGTTTTTGGGGTGTTTGGGGCACAGCTGAGGGTGCTGGCAGCCAGGAGGAACCTTCTGGAAGGAAAATTTGTTCCTCTGGCCCTCCAACAACTGCCACATCCCAGAAATATCCGTGAGCAGAAGGGAATTCCCAGCCATTCCCGGATCCACCCTCATCCCCCTGGCCAGCAGAACATTATCCCCCGCCAGCTCTGCCTCAGCGATTTTTTTTTTTTTCCCTCCCACTTTTAAGCTCTGCCCTTCCCCCCTGTGCCATCCCATAACCTCTGGGACTCTCTGGGAATCACTCACCACATGGAATGCCCCAAATATTCATCGTAGTAATAGAGCAGCTCGAAGGAATCAATCTGCGACCGGGGGTGGGGATGAAAAAAAAAAAAAAAAAAAAAAAGAGGATGAAAAAAATCGGGAGTTAAGGGCTCAAAGCACGGAACAATTCACGAACTCGAGATTCCCAGCAACGCCTGGAGGCAGCTCAGGGTCTTACCAGGGTCTCAGGTTTGAGGTTCCTGATGATGGGGTTCTCCCTGACGGACAGGTGGTGCTGGTAGCCGCTGAAGATCAGCCGGTGGTTCACGGAGTCTCCCACCAGGTGGATGCTGGCACCCATCACAAAGGTGATGATGCTGACGTAGACCATGGACCTGGGCAGGGTTTTGGGGGACCTCTCGATGAGCTGCAGGCACAGGGGTGAAGTGAGGAGCGATGCCTCAAGTTTTAAAAACGAAAAAAAAAAAAACCTTTCAGGTTTTGTACAGCGTTGGGAAGTAACTCTGAATTTGTTAAACGCCGGCGCGTTCTCCTCGCGGTTTATTGGACAAAATAATTCTTTTCTAACCCTAAAAGCAAACAGCTCCAGCCCCAAAAAAAGAGAATCTGGGAGGGTGGGACTGCAGAACCTGGAGCTGGGACTGGACAATGAACCCCAACAGGGGAATGGACCAGAACTGATCAAAGTGTGAGGACTCCTGACTCGGATCCATCTTGGCTCCATCTTATGTCCAGTTTGGCTCCATCCTGGGTCCATTTTGGGGCCATTTTGGGTTCATCTTGAGGACATTTTGGCTCCATTTTGGGTTTATCCTGGCTCCATCTTGGCTCCTTCCTGGATCCATCCTGGGTCCATTTTGAGCCCATTTTGGGTCCATTTTGGGTTCATCTTGAGGCCATCTTGGATCCACCTTGGGTTTATCCTGGATCCATCTTAGCTCCACTTTGGCTTCATCTTTGGTCCATCTTGGGTTCACCCTGGATTCATCTTGGATCCATTTTGGGTTTAAACTGGCTCCATCTTGGCTCCTTCCTGGGTTTATCCTGGATCCATTTTGGGTTCATCTTGAGGCCATCTTGGGTCCATCCTGGATCCATCTTGAGCCCATTTTTAGTCCACCTTGGGTTTATCCTGGATCCATCTTGGCTCCACCTTGGATCCATCCTGAATCCATTTTGGGTCCATCCTGGATTCATCTTGGGCCATCTTGGGTTTATCTTGGCTCCATCCTGGATCCATCCTGAGTCCATCTTGGCTCCATCTTGGGTGTAGCCATGGCTGAGCTCTTGCACTGCCCAAGGTGAATCCTTTCAACAAATTCCAACTTTATTCCTTTAACTCTGTCCCAGCCTCTCCAGGGATCAGGAGGAGGAGGAGCAGGAGCAGCAGGGACACGGCAGCTCCTGCCCTTGCTGGATTTTGGAGCACCCAGAAATTTCACCAGAAATGAGCAAAGCTCGTTGATGAGGGAGGAAAGGCTGTGGTTTTCCATGATTTTCCATGATTTTCCACGATTTTCCATGGTTTTCTGTGGTTTTCCATGATTTTCCTGCCTCTGGAGAGGACTGAAGGTTGCATGTGCCCTCCAATGGCAGCAGAGCCTCCAGCACAGAGCTCCTCACTTTTCCCTCCCTGTCTGGACACCTCAGGATTCTCCAAGTGAACATTTTGGGGCTCTTTTCCCTTTTTTCCCAATGGAATGGGACTCAGCTCCCTCTGACCCCCCAGCCAGGGGGAGCTGAGTGCCACAAAACCACTCGGGGCAACTTTTTGGGTTCTGCTTTCAGAGCTGCACCTGAGGCTGCCTCAGAGCCTGGGACAAGCCCTGGAATAGGAGCAGGAATTTTGGGAAGCAGCAGAATTAATTTTTTTTTTTTTTTTTTTTTGCTTCCTTGCAAAGCAGAGAGGACCTCCCACGCCAGATCCCAGCTCCAGGAGTTTTCCAGCTTTGGCTGGCTCGGGATTGTCCCAGCTTTGGGATCATCCAGGGCCCCCCCTCTCCCTCTAAATCAGCTTTGCAGCCCTCCCCAGGCAGGGAAAATCTCCTTATTTGTGTTTAATTTGGAGGCTTAACTTCCCCTTTCCCTGGAACTGCGGCACGAACGTCACGGCAGGACGAGGAGAGCACAGGGCTGGGACAAACCCCGGGAAATCCATCCTGGAATTTTTTTTTGGGGGGGGATGAACCCTCAATGCTGTGCCAGGCTGCAAAAAATTCACCTGGGAAGGGTGAGCTCCCACATCCTGGAGATTCCCTTTCTGCCCCCAGTGCTGAAATCCTCCTGGAATATCGAGAGAGAATCATTTCCACCTCAGGCCATAACTCCCAGCTAATGGAGGTTAAAATAGATTTGTAATTGCTTTCTTAACAGGAAAAGGTTCCTAATGATCCGACAGAATTCCACCTCATGAATGGTTTATGGGATCTGATCCAGAGGTTGGCAGCTGGGGCCAGATAAATTCCAGCTCCAGCCACAGTTCCAAGGTCAAAGAGCAAGTGGAATTAAGCTCTGAACAATTTAGAAAATCCACCCTGCTTCCAGCTGTCCTTTAAGCCAAGGATGGATGCTGTCCTAAAAATATCATTTGGGAAAAGGGCTCTGAGCCAGAATTCCAGGGGCAAGCAGGAAACTGAGGGGTATTCAGGTGCTCTTTAAAAGGTGGCACCACAAATCCTGTTAACTCTTCCTTATGGCAGGAATTTGGGAATAACCAACACCCTAAAAACCTCTGACACTTTACAAAACTGGGAATGGGAAAAGCCCTGAATATTCCCAGGTTTACCTTCAGCTCTTACTCTTTCTGGAGCCAGAATTCCAGGGGGAAGCAGGAAATTGAGGTGCTCTTTAAAAGGTGGCATCACAAATCCTGTTAACTCTTCCTCATGGCAGGAATTTGGGAATAACCAACAGCCTAAAAACCTCTGAAACTTTAAAAAAACTGGGAATGGGAAAAGCCCTGGACACTGCCAGGTTTACCTTGAGCAGCAGGAAGGGGGTGATAACGTTGTAAGCCATGTGGAAATAATCCCCAGCACTGGGTTTGTTTAGAGGAAACCATTCCAGAGGGAGGATGATCTGAGGAGAGAGGGAACAGCAATTATGGGTGAGGGACAGGGAAAACGCTGGGATTGCTTGGGAATGCTCAGCTGGACTTCAGGGGGTTGGTTTGGCAGCTTTTCCTGCAGCAAAATTCCCAAAAATCACCCTCTGGAAGTTTTCCCTCCTAGCCCTGCCCGGTGCTATCGAGCTGTGGGGTCAAGGAAGGCATTTGGGATCCTGCATCTCCCTGAACCTTCTGCCAGCTTCCAGCTCTTTAAAAATTCCATTTTTATGGAATGGCCACTTGTGGAAAGCAGCAGCCCCAGGTAAGAAATGGGGAAGAGCAGGAGGAACCTCCCAGATCCCTTTTTGGTGTGAAAACAAAGGTGTGGGAGAGAGAACAGGGAGCAGCTTCCCCAGGGGACAGCAGAGCAGCTCCCAGCTCCTCCAGGACACCCCTCTGGTGCAGGGGACAGCCCTGGGGACCCGCTGGCCCTGTCCCCTCGCTCACCATGGCGATGGGGCGCCCGAAATCCAGCACCCAGTTCTGCAGGGTGAAGTAGAACCACAGGTCCAGGTGGAACGGGGACGTCTTGAAGGTGTCCTCAGCCTTCACCGTGCTGTGCCTGCAGGGGACAGAGGGACACAGAGCCATGGAGCAGCTCCGGGAGGAGGCAGAGCTGCTGTCCCACACCAGAATTCCCTGGGAGCTGTGGGATAACAAAGCTGAGGAGAGCACGAAGCCGTCGCCATCCCTGACCCGTCCCTGCGGGGAGGCTCCTCCCGGTCTCTCCAGCAAGGTGAAAAATGCTGAATTAAGTGCAACTATTTTTAACTTTTGCACGATGAAGCAAAACCCCAACTCCCAGGAGTTGAGCTGAGCGCTGAAAACGCGGCGATGCCCGGTGGAATTCCACACCGGGATGCTCAGGATGCAGCATCACCATCGGCTCCTGCTGCCAACGCCCTCTGCCTCCACAGAGGACCCAAGCCCATGAAATGCCCCTCCAGCACCTCTGGACCTTCACCTCCCTGCAGGAAAAGTGGATCCATGCCCCTCCTGGTGCTGAGACCAGAACGGGATCAGCCTCGAGTTTGAGCCCACGCTCCAAAATCCATGGAAGTGTCCCTGAGAGGATCTTTAAGGTCCCTTCCAGCCCAAACCACTCTGGCATGATTGAGTGAAGCCCGAGAGCTGGAGGGTGAGGATGGGGTTCCCTGGATGAGCTGGGAATGCTGCAGCTCCCTGGAAGAGCCTACAAATCCTGGATAACCCAGGTACGCCGGGATGCTCCGGACAAAGCTGAGAGGGGGAACTTTGGGGGACCCTGATCCTGGGGATGTCCCGGACCCCGACCCTGGGGATGTCCCGGACCCCGACCCTGGGGATATCCCGGATCCCAACGCTGAGCATGTCCCCGACTCCGACCCTAAAGATTCCCCGGACTCCGACCCTGGGGATGCCCAGGACCCCGCAGCATCCGGGGGTGGTACCCAGGAAGGGGCCGGGCAGTCCCGGGAAGCGCAGAGCAGGCTGAGCCGGGGGGATTGGATGGGGTGAGGATCCCCAAGGAATGAGGGGCGGCTTTTCCCATTCCCGAACCCCCGAACTCCACCCCAGCCGTGCTCACCTGCCCGGGTAGAGCGGCCCGGCGGGCGGGGGCGAGCCCGGGGCCGCGGCCGGGAACGGCCGGCGCCGCACCGAGCCCTGCATGAGCCCGGCCCGGGGCTCCCGGAGCCGCTCCCGGAGCCTCTGCCTGTCCCGGTGCCGGTGCCGGTGCCGGTGCCCGCTCCCGGCCCGGCCCGCGGAGCAGCGGCGGCTGCGCGGGGGCGGCCCCGGGACCGCCCCGGTGGGGCGGGGGCAGCGCCGGATCCGCTCCCTGCAGCGCTCCCGGCCCGGTTTAGCTCCGGCCCCGCTCCCTGAACCGCTCCCGGTTCCGCTCCCTGCAGCGCTCCCGGCCCGGCTCAGCTCCGGCCCCGTTCCCTGAACCGCTCCCGGTTCCGCTCCCTGCAGCGCTCCCGGCCCGGTTTAGCTCCGGCCCCGCTCCCTGAACCGCTCCCGGTTCTGCTCCCGGCTCAGTGCCGGATCCTCTCCCTGCAGCGCTCCCGGCCCGGTTTAGCTCCGGCCCGCTCCGGGCTTAGCTCCAGTCCCGCTCCCTGCACCGCTCCCGGTTCTGCTCCCGGCTCAGCGCCGGTTCCGCTCCCTGCCCCGCTCCTGGTTCAGCTCCCCGTTCCGCTCCTGGTTCCGCTCCCCGGTCCACTCCCGGTTCCGCTCCCCGGTCCACTCCCGGTTCCGCTCCCTGCCCCGCTCCCGGCCCGGCTCAGCTCGGCCCCGCTCCCGGTTCCGCTCCCTGCACCGCTCCAGGCTCAGCTTAGCTCCGGCCCCTCTCCGGGCTTAGCTCCGTTCCCCGCTCCGTTCCCCGCTCCGTTCCCCGCTCCTCCAAACACCGGGAAAGCGGCGGGATCCCCGTTAACCCCCGCTGTGCCGGGCGCTGAGGGGCTCCTGGCTGGGATGGGCACACTGGGATGCTCCCGGCTGGGATCGGAGCGGGGAGAGGCTGGCAGGGAACACCCAGGGAATTCCATGCAAATCCATCGCTGCGAGCCCGAGGTTTATTGGGAATGAGGAGCTGGAGCTCGCCGTGGGTCTGGCTGCTGCTTTTCCCGAATTTCCATTTCCCTGGATCACGGCACCGCGGGGCTGAGCCGGGAGTTGGGGATGCCCCGCTCTGTTCTCTGTTCTCGGTTTTGGATGGATAAATCCCTCGGGATGGGATCAGGCAGGGAAGGATTCACAGCCCTCGGGGATGAATTCACACTCGGGGTTTGGAGTTTTGGGTCTAAATCGGAACTGCTATAGGCAGGGATATTTTCCCATGATTATCCCAGGTTTTTCCAAGCCCTGTCCAACCTTGGCACTGGGATCCAGGGATGTGGCAGCCACAGTCAGGGCCTCACCATCCTCACGGGGAGGAAAGCTGGAGGCACCAAAACCCTCCTGGAGGGTTTGGTTTGGGCACGGAGGCTCCGTCATTCCTGGGATGGGAACTCTGTGTGTCACAGCCTGTCCCCATTCCCTGGGATGTGCAGGTGTGACACGGAATGGTAACGGGACAATCCCTGGGAGCTGTGGCACAGCCGTCCACCGAGGAATTCTGGCCTGGAATTCTGCTCCCAGAAGCAGCAGAAGGGAGATTTTGGTCCCTGGTGAAGAGCAGGGGATCCTCCCCATGCCATCCCTGCTCCCCCAGCGGGACACCTGGAAAAATATCCCTGAAAAGTGGAGGAGATCATCGAGATAACGGAGCCACTTAATCTTACCAGGACCCTGCTTGTCACCCTGTGCCTGACATGGGCACATGGCTCTGAACAGGGCTGGCCATGGCCTGCCTCGTGTCCCCTCGTGTCCCCTCGTGTCCCCTGGACTCTCCAGGCTCCGGCTGCTGCTCCATGAATAATTCACATCCCGCAGGGAGCCGCGGCTCCGGTGGCAGAACTCGGAATTCATAATTAATGGGGCTGAGACCGGATCCCCCACAGGACAATGGTGTGGCAGACGGGGCCCGGGGTGGTGTCCCCTTACTGCTGGTGGCTCGTGTCACCAGGGAGGTGGCCCAGCAGGGGGCTGAGGTGGCAGGTGTGTGACGATGTCCCCAGAACCAGGGGTGAAGGTCCTGCGTGTGCTGGGGAATGATGGGAGCTGCTGGTTCTGACTTAAAAAAACCCAAAATTGAGCCAAACCCAGCCCAGCTGAACCCAACCCATCCCAACTAAACCCAGTCTAGCCTGCTCAGCCTGACCCAGTCCAGCTGAACCCAGCCCAGCCCAATCCAACTGAACAAATTCCAGCCCAACCCAACCCAGTCCAACCCAACCCAACCCAACCCAACCCAACCCAGTCTAAACCAACCCAACCCAACCCAATCTCACTCTCCACAATCCCCTGACAAGAGGGAGCAGCCAGGGAGGGTCGGGCTCTGCTCCCAGGGAACAAGGGCCAGGATTAGAAGACATTTTCCTAAACTGCACCAGTTGAGGTTTAGGTGGGACAGCAGGAGGAATTTCTCCACGGAAAGGGAGGTCAGGCCTTGGCAGGAGCTGCCCAGGGAGGTTTGGAGTCTCCATCCCTGCAGGTGTCCAAGGAAGGGCTGGATGTGGTGCTGGGGATCAGGCACAGCTGGGACTCCGTGACCTCGGAGGTCTTTTCCAACCTCGGTGATCGTGCAGTGGAAATGAGGATTTAAAGCTGAGCTGGTGACACATGTGTGGCCTAGCAGGTGTCTGTGTTATTACATTTTATTGCTTGGGGATGTCAGGGAAATTAATCCACAAACACCAGAGATTTATGTCCAAAAAGGAGACAGAGGAATCCTGGAACTTTATTTGAATAAAGGGAGAGGCCATGACTCAAAGCTGAGGTGGTGACAGTGCAGCCCAGCAGTTTCTGTGTTATTGTGTTTTGGGGACATGCTTGGCCGTGTCCTGGTGGTGCTGCTGACACCTTAAATTTTAGCTTTCATATTTTCCAGACTCTGTGCTGCAATGGCATATAACTCTGAACTTCATATTAAGTATTACCAAGTTCTCCTCACAGTTTAGTTGGACTAAAAAAATCCTTTTCCTTCCCCCAGAACCAAGGACACTGCTGTAGCTTCAGGCCCAAAAAGTGCAAACAGCAGCGAACTGAGGAGAGAATCTGGGAGGGTGGGACTGCAGAACCTGGAGCTGGAATTGGACAATATGGAAATGGACCAAAACTGATAAAAGTGTGAAAACCTGTGACTCGGATCCATCTTGGGTGGAGCCACAGCAGGGCTCTTGTACTGCCCAAAGTGAATCCTTTGAAGGCCTTTTTAATAAATCCCTACTTTATTCCTTTAACGCTGTTGTCCTTTAAGCCTCCTGTTCTAGGTGGTCTCTGAAAGCATCACTGCCTTGGCCTCGCTCTGCAGCGTTTTTCCAGCCTTGTTTTTTGGGATTGTGGAATGTTGGAGCTCGGCCTGCAGGCTGTGGAGGCTGTTTGGGATCCCGGAATGGCAGAGCTCGGCCTGCAGGGAGGCTGTTCGGGATCCTGGAACTGCCTGGCCTGGCCTGCACGCTCCGGAGCGCTTTTCCAGCCTCATTCTTTGAGATCCTGGAACGGCCTGGCCTGGCTCGGCCTGCATGCTGTGGGGGCTGTTTACATCCTGGAAAGGCCGAGCTTGGCCTGCACTCTCTGGGGGCTGTTTAGACCCCGAAATGGCCTAGCCTGGCTCGGCCTGCGCTCTCTGGAGGCTGTTTAAATTTCGGAACGGCAGAGCTTGGCCTGCACTCTCTGGGGTTGTTTACACCCAGAACGGCCCGGCTCGGCCCGCACTCTCCGGGGGTTGTTTACACCCGGAACGGCCCGGCTCGGCCCGCGCTCTCTGGGGGTTGTTTACACCC